TATTTAAATGAAAAAGAATTTTAAGAGTTGATAAAATAAAGTGAATTTACTGTTACTAAGAATTATGGCGAAACGGTTTAAGCATATTGAGATACAGAAGAATTAACAAAATTAAGTCGTTAAATTGGACTTGGCAAAAGTACGCTTAGCGTGTAAAGAAATTCAATTTCTATTATTGAAATTTACTTAATTGTTCGCATAAATGGAACAGATATGACATAATATTTGCATACATTTATTCGATTGATTTAAAAGAAGAAAAATTTTATGAAAGGAAACTCTAATGAAACCAAGAATTTACTTTACAGTTCCGTTATTGAAGGAAATGCTAATTTTCAAAATTGCCATGTTTAATTTAAAATTTACTTCTTACAAATCCTAATAAGAAAAAATAATATACACAATACTTTTCATATACTTTCTCTCTCGCGATCACGTAAAGTAATATTTTTACATTTGTTATACATATCTCTAATTCGAATCTTTCTCACTAATTATGCCTTTTGTACGAACAATCGAAATACAGTGAATGTATTGCCATCACTTTATTCTTCTTTCGTCGAACACACAAATTTGCTAAGGCGTTTGTTAATGATATTATATAATATGTAAATGCGTATAGTATTTCGTAACAAGCTTCATGCGGGATTGAGAATTTTTCAAAAATTATTATGTAGAGAACTGGATGCTCCATCCACGTTTCGTCGTAAGAATACATAACAAACAAACAAAACAAAAAAACAAACGAACGAACGAACAAAAAAAAAACAAAAAACAAAAAATAATAAGAAGAAAGAAACATATGAATAGAATAAAAGTTACCTGTAAGTTGGGAATGAGAATTTAGTGTATTGTATTCGCATAATTAAAAAAGGAATAGCAGCTACAAGAAGAGCTAATGGATAAAAAAAGCAAGATTAAACGGCGTAGCAAAAGAAGAACGAGTAGACAAAATAATAAGAGAAAGATAAATAAATAGTTAGATAGGTAGATAGAGAAATAGATATATAGATAGGTAAATAAGTAAATAGACAGAATAAAAAACAGAAGTGAGAAAGAGCGAGACAGGCAATGTGTGTGTGTGAGAGAGAGAGAGAGAGAGAGAGAGAGAGAGTTAGAAACGAATGTAAATCGTGTGCATGTAAGATGTATATGATGCCGTAAGTGTGATGTTCCGTGTATGTAAATCATGTTACGTGTAATGTCATGTATCCTAAGATTATAACACGGCATTTTACGCAAACAATGACGCATACAAATGAAATGTAATACATGTATTGAATTACCCCTAAATACAGCCATTTTATAATGGATAATTATTATTGTTTTCATTTCTCAGATCCTTCCTTCTTAATCCTTTCGCTATAATAATACATATATGTAAGTAATATATGTACTTTATTAAAAAGCATTGCAATTTATATCAATGAATATGAAATCTTACTTTATAAGAATATTATAAAAAAAAAAAAAAAATTAATAAATAAATAAATAATAAAATCGGTTAATAATTAATACTTGGATAATAAAATATAAAGAAGTATATAAAAGCCATAGAACGACACTCAATTGCAATATTATAAACGCAATTACGCTTTTCTTCACGATTCATGAAAAATATTAGATGTACTAGTTCTTCAACTTTTATTATAATGTTTTCAATAGTTATTAATTTAAATTAAATATCAGTAATACAAAATTTCTGAATTTCTTCTGAATTCTAAATAACATAAGAATATAAAATAATTAACTATTGCTAAATTCTTTGAATGTCGTAGAAAATAAATTTCTAATAATAATGAATGATGAATATTATGATGATAATAATAAAATAATGATGAAAATTTGCGTTTTAATACAATTAGATTTCATTATATGTTATAAAAATGAAAACAATATTTACTTTTAATTTTCTTTTTATGTTAGCAACTACGCAATTATGTATATATTAATTATGTCTTTAGATATTTATAATAAAAGAGTATTTATTAAAATTATAGTTAGAATAAAAATTACAGAATTCATGTTGATTAAGTTTGTTAAAATCTTAGATCATAATTATTTTATATGTTATAAATAAATAGTTCGATTAATATTTACTTACATTGGTGATTTGAATATTCACGTATGATCAAATATGCCAGATATTTTATAATTACTAAAAACAATAAACTATCGAGGCGGATGATTTCATGAAATATTGTACATCAGTATCAATTATTATTTATAACTGTTAAGGTATAAAAATAAACCTTTTGTCAATCAGAATTATAATTGCTTCTTCCTTCCCTTTTCATTCCGTAGCTTCGATTCTGATTAAGCGATCATTTATTGTAATTGATAATTATATTACAAGTAAATTTTAAATAAATTTATAGAGTTATGCGGTTCACATTTCTTTATTAAATATTCTAAATATTTTAAATGAATACGCTTTAAAAAATATTTTTGCTCGTAAAAAAATACCATTTCACATTTTACAATTATAAATATATTGATAATATAGAATTTTTGTTTAGAAGCCGTGTAGATCTAAAAATGATACTTAGTTTTTATTACAAGAGTGCATGTGTGTGTGTTTTTTTTTTCAACATTTCATCGATCCTTCTTGAGGCGCCAAATATTATAAAAATAATAAAGTAAATATTTAATAATAAATCGTAAATTCGAAGATAATATAATTGTATACTGTATACTGATTTAAAGAAAATGACGATTAATAATATCTTTCCAAATACTTCTACTTTTCTAACGATAATAATTTGTATGTAAGCGAATATTGTGAAAATAGTTATATTTACTCGTATATTTCATTATTAGAAACTCGTTCATCATAGTTAATATTACATTTAAGTAAGTCTAAGTAAATTGAAATAAACGTTGAATAACGACTATAGAATCAGCTAATTAAAAATGTTATTAGTAATTAATACATCATTAAATATAATACAATTATCAGTACAATAGAAATATGATTATAACGATTTAACCAGATATGCTTTTGATGATTTTAACTCATTACGTGACAGAACGTCTGTCTTATATAAGAAAGACACTGTTCAGCCAATTCAAATACAAGCCTATAAATAAAAATTAAATAAAATTCAAAACTAACAATAATTTTTTGATAAATAATTTGATAAAATAATTTATTAAATTGAATATTAACGATTACATAATATCTATCATTGCGTAATATCTAATATTATAATCACAAAAGTGCATAAAATCTATTTTTAGATTTAAATTTTAGAGTTATTAACTGATCTTTTACTCTTAATTAAGACGGTTTTTTAATTTATTTTAGTATTTTTCCAGTACTGAAAAGTTGCCCAAACTATACATTTCTAAAAAGTATATCGACAACGAAAACGAAAAGTTTTCACAATCAAAATTAAATATCGTTTTTTAAGGGAGGAAATGTAGTATTTTATAATTACTATACGTTAAAATTAGAAAAACATTAACATAAATTACCTTGAAATTAAAAATTACAAATATATATATATATATATATATATATATATATATATATATATATAAACGAACGTCTGTTATATACTAACAAAAAACAGTAACAAATTGATAAATTATTTAATATAAAATTTTATATTTAGAAAACTTAAGGGCTTTACCTTTCATAAATAATTATTATCATTCTTAAAATATAAAATATTACAACGTAGCATTTGCTTTAATTTTTAAAAAATCGCAATATATTTTTTTAAACGACTGTTTAAATAAAAATTGCCATTTTTTTTTTATCGATATTTTTTTATTAATGATTTAAAAAAATAATAATATAAATATATACAAATTGAATATTGAAAATCAATTTGTTTAGAAATTAGAAATGTTTTATTATTATTAAAAGTAATACAAGCGATGTATACAAACTCAGAATATTCTTAAATTTGAAATTTAGTAGTTTAAACAAATTTTTAATTTGAAACTATAAAGTTATATAAAAGAAAATATAAAGTTTAGAACATTAAAAAAAATATACTTATTCGTTAGAAGGTATAATAAATAAGTTTAAATATAAAATTGTATAAATTGATTAGAAATAAAAATGTGTAGTTTGTGGACTTGAAATGGCCAATTTGAAATGATATTGAAACTATCGAGCTTCGTTAATATTTTGAGAATATTTTGATTATCTTTAAGAAATTGACAGGCTCTTCTATTATTAAAAATTTGATTTGTTTAATTGTTATCAAACTTTGAATATTAGTATAAAAGTTTTATTTATTAATACTAATTAGTTCATAATAGTCTAAAATATAATTTTGTTTAACTTAATATATGAAATATAATATAATTAATAGAAGTTATGATACCGTTATGATTAATACAATTGCAATAAACAGGATTCGATTAAGTTTTCAACGAGCCACCGCTCTATTTAACTACATGACGATGGAATGATAAAAAAAAAAAAAAAAAAAAAAAAAAAAAAAAAAAAAAAAAAAAAAAAAAAAAAAAAAAAAAAAAAAAAAAAAAAAAAAACAAAAAAAAACAAAAAGATAAATAAAGAAAAGAAAGATCGCTATCCCATGAAAAAAAAAATATTATAACACCTGGCCCAAAGCAATCGTCTACTTAATTCACAAACGTGCTCACTAACAATATCAAAGAATCATTAATCAACCATCAAAACTGTGCGTTTTCATACCATTTCTACTGGCATAAAGATCGTTTATAATTAATTTCCAAATATTTCATAGCCGACTGACATAAAAAATAAATAGTAAACCAGTAAATTAATTTTACGTTGTATTACTTGTTGTATAAAATATGTTTACAAACATTAGTTAATTTATATAGATTTGATTTAGCTTTGAAAAAGTGGCTATTGCATTTTTTTTTTATTTTTTTTTATTTTTTTTTAAACGAATGAAATTAAAAAAAAAAATAATAAAAAAAAATATATATACATATATATATATATATATATATATATATATATATATATATATAAGCAAATGTAAATCAACAAGTATAAACTTGTAAATGTTATTCAGTTTTTATCAAATTTATTGACATGCATGCTAACAAACGCGTTAAAATCTATCTCTCTTTACTCATTCATTTCAAGCACACAATTTCACGCATACATTTGAGCTAGTAAATTTCTATGTTTACATCAAAATAAAAATGAAACGCTTTTAAAAGCGTTACAAAGAAAATAATTCTAATAAAACACTGGCTTACAATTACTCGTAACTGGCTTACGCAATTTTCATATCATTTTTGCCACTGGTTGGAAGTTTTTAAAACTGTATCCAGAGTATTTTATATAGTTTTCCATTCATAGTTTCATCCACTTTTCTTGATAAAAAATAAGTAGATGCAATTGAAAATGTTCGTTTTCAGATGCACGGAACTAAGATCTCCAACACTGAGATACATCTCTTTGTAAATATTATTAATTAGTTTTCTCAATACAAACATGTTTACAATTCGTCTCGTAGCAATGTGTATCTGTTTTTACTGGGGGCCAATTTTTTAAATGTAGACTCCGGTGGTGACGTTGGAACTTTTACTGGTACCGAGTCCAATTGGGGTACATCATTATAACTAGGCCCATAGTGAAATTCTTTATGTAATTTGCCAGAATAAAGATCTTGCAGGAAAGACTTCAATTTACCAGGTATAAAAATATGCTTGAAATCCGAAAATAAATACATGTGACGGAAACTATCGATTGCTATTAATGGCAAATCAGATGTGTTTTTGCCCAAATGATGTAGAGGATGGGCGAATTTGTGTCCATCGGCAGTTAAGAAATTAACGTTTTCTAAAAAAAATATTTTGCATTTGACTACTTTGTACATATGGAATGATGTGTTGATTAAAAAAGAGAGAGAGAGAGAGAGAGACCACGCCAAATACAAATAATTAGGATAATATTTAACAATTAACAAATTAAAATTATTGAAAATTGTTAATCGACAATTATAAAAAATGAAATTTTTTTTAATTATTTTGTTTTTAAAACGAAGTTTGTTTTACTTGCATTTAATAGAAATGCACTAATAAAATATTTTATTACTGCATGTCGAATTATATTTATCGTTGAACATAAAATTTCTTGCTTCGACTAGTAAGTTTGTGCTCTGAGGTATATAAATAAAATAAAATAAAATTTTAAATAAAAACAAAAAAAAACGTACAAAATGAAGGTGAAAAATAATTTGAAAAGATAAATAAACTATTTTATGTACATATTTCTTGCCCGATTTCAATGAATTAAAAAAAAAATGTATATTTGCATTTACATTCGCATCCTGAGTATACTTACGTCTTTCATCGATTAGGGTAGTTGTAACAATGTCCTTATATTGTTTTATACTTTCAGAATCGCTAGGATCATGAAATAGAATAAGAAACGGTAAGCCTTCTTCGGTAAGCTCTTCTGCATTTTCAAACGTAATTTCCCTAACTAATGGCACACACTTCTCTTGAGCCCAGATATTTAATTCATCGTAACTACTTAAGCTACCTTCGTAGGTTTCATCTTCATCGTTTGATAAAGCTTTGTCGGATCGAAATACTATTATCGGTTGTCCAGGAGGATGCATTGCCATGCTAACATTCCTAAACCATAATAAATCATAAATTTAATAGCTACGACATAAGTTAAGTGCATAAAAAAGAGAAAAACGAAAAAAAAAAACAAGAAAGATATAAGACCAGTAATCATCATTAATTATGAATAAAACAAGAAAAAACAATAGAGTACTAGTATAAAATGTGCAATTAGTAAAATATATTTTTCTATCAATTATAATTAACATGTCTTAATTACTTACAGCAAACGAAAATGCTGTCCAATATCACAATTTTCTTTAGAACACGTGCTTGTTAAATGAAGCAAATAGAATGTATTCAATACGTAATGCTATGTCATAAGAAATATATATTGATTAAGATTCTTTATAAATACTCTTACCCAAAGCCAACGTGGAACTGACAGTCTTCCTTTAAATTGCCAGCGACACGTCTAAATAATTCATACTCCGCTACATCTTTTTTATCAAAATAGCCAATTATCATTCTCTTCTTATCGTCCAGATTCTGAAGTTCTTTCAAATCTTGGAACTCCTTAATTGGATCTTCGAGTTGCTTCTTAATAAATTCAACGAATGCTTCAACGGATCGCTGACCTCTATATTCTCTTTTGGAAGGCTGGCCATTCCTTATAACCTTAAGAGTCGGATATTTCGTTATATGAAACCTTGATGCAACAGATGCTAAAACATAAAATTTTCCATAAACTATTTGAATATTGTGTAACTATTGCTGAAAAAAAAAAAAAAAAAAAGAAAGAGATAAAACAACAAATACAAATAATTTATATTTTAATTGGATGAAAAATAAACGTTATAAATTCAGTGAATTTTAGACTATGAATCTATTATAATATTGAAAGAAAGTTGTCATACTGTGTAATATTTTGTAAATATTATTCATCTTTTCCATTAACCTCGCTTCAAATTAAAATACCCATGAGATAAGTAGCGTATTTCAACATTGTACTCTATAATTTATCTCTTAAAATTATGGAATGCAATCGCATCAGCATCGTTATATTTGTACATTGTGAACATTTTTATCGTCTACTTAATAAGAATGTAAACTATTTCTTAATTCAAGCATAGAAGCACTTATACAAATATATCGACCTTTTATTTTCCATCCACCCGTATCTACTAAAAAAAAAATGGACAATGAACATCGATACTTTAAATTAAATTTCTAAATATAGTATAGGCCATAAAAGTTTTTTAAATGACTTGTAGAAAAAAATCGATAAATATATAAAAGAGTAGAATGTCGATATAAAGCGCAAGAAAAAGAATAAAGATATTTTTGAGAAAGCAAGCAGATTTTAAAAAAAAAAAGAAAGTTAAACTTTTAACAAGCGTAAGTCACATTATTACTTACATTCTTTATCACAATCTACCTTTACCATAGCCACTTTGTCAGATTCTGGAAAAGCTTCTCTAACTTTATCCGCTGCTTCATCAAAAATAGGTTGCAGTAAATTACTAAAACGACACCATTCTGCATAAAAATTGATAAATACTAGTTCATTGGAGGCTGTAAATAAAAGACAATTATCGTTTAAATTACATTCACGTAATTTAATAGTAGTGAGTGCAAGAACATAGTCACACATCGGACTAACGATTCAACGTGTAAAGAAAAGAAACATTTTAATCAGTCTTTCATGACTAGTAAATCTTGTTATACACATATAATGCACAAAGATTGCATTTAAATACTTTTGAGTTTCAAAGGTCAATATACAATAAAGCCATGCACTCACCGAACGTCGAGAAAATATTTTCTTGCGTAAGAGATGTTGCACCTCCGCTCACGCCCGTACACTGAATGAATATCTAGAATAAAAGTTATTATTAATTAAAAACAATTAGTTTGCCTGGCTAGTTGTTAATGTTCGTTGCTCCCAAGGCTTCACATCGGTGAAAACAAGCAAGCGCGTATCAGAACTATTAAAAATACATGACTAATACAATGCACTTGAGTTGGAAACTTTGATCGTGAAAAAATCAATCAAACTCGATAATAATGAGAAAGTACATTGGAGGTTATATCAAGTAAGAATTTTGAGGTTAGGCGGAGTGTTCCGTAAACAAGTACAAAAAGTATCTGCAATCCGCTGTCAGTACTCGGAGTCCTTCCCAGCCATGTCGAACGAAACGTGAAAAAGCACTCGACATAACCGGGTACATCAAATAAAATGTAAGCGGCGTCGCGCAATTATTCCGTAGCAGTTGTTCCTTGGGCAGGTCCGCGCTTCTGCTGCGTATTTGTAGAAACCGATGAGAAATGACTTACCAGGAGGCTGCCGAGAGCAACGAGCTTTATGTTGCGATTATCACAGAAGGCCAGCATCTCGTAATATTTATTATGATACGGCAAATGAAGGGTCGATCGGTTATACGGTAACTCTCAACATCGAGCGAGCGGACAGGCGCGCAGCGAGGAAAACTGGAAAACCGCCACGAATGCAGCACACGATGGCAAATTAGGCAAACCAGTAGTAATGGTTAGTTTGGGTTTCCGACGTGAGTAGAAGTAGAGGCTGACGCGTATTATACGTGCCCCAGTAGAATATTACGTGTGGTACGTTTAAGTTGACCTTGACGAGGATCGCTAGGATGTATTATAATAACAAAGGCAATAACGAGGCGCGCGAGACTCGAGAGCGTTTAAAAGCTTTTAAGTGGTATAGAGTGACGTAAATACGAATATATTAATTCAATACGATATAATATAGCAGCATCGATATAAAATACCGAGTAAAAAGTCATATAAAGCTCGTGATTTCTCAATGTAAGGAAAATCACATAAAGTATTTAAAGGTATCAGAGGCCTCGTTAAATAAAGTGTATCGGTGTGTGTACGAAATATGCCAATGACATGTTATATGCGTAAAAACTAAATCGTAAATGTACAAATGTATTAATACAGACAGCACGTCTCTCGCGTGCAATTAAATAAAAGTAATTTCAACTAGAAATTGTCCTTTACCGTATAAATAAAATTTTATATAATCTAATGATTATTTAATGAAATTTAACGAATTCTAATTATTTTTCTCAAAGCGAGCCACTAGCGTTTCTTGACCTTGAATTTTTAAAACATAACGAAGAACAAATCCTTTGTTTGAATTATTAATTGTTTTTAGTGCCAGCCAATAGATTTCCATAAAAGATAAGTTATACGATATTTTATGTCACGTCATTAATAATAAGGTCGAAAAATTAATTTTGTAGTCTAGGGAGTACGAGTGATTTTAAAGAAAAATATTAAAAATATAACATTAGCTTAAGTAAATTTCTAATCTTTTAATCTTTTTCAAAATAACGGACATCGTGCGATTCTTTTTTTTTTCTTTTTTTTCAACATTAATCGATGTACATTATTTTATTCGAATTTTATGTGCGCACGCATGCCTCTGTGCACTGTAATGGAAACTACCTTGAACTTTACGTAAGATATCGCAAAAACAAGCGAGTAATAGGACAACAAAACTTATATCACACTCGCTAAATTGTAATTTTAAATAACACCGTACACCTACATACATACATATATATATATATATATATATATATATATATATCAGCGATCAGCAATTGTTATAAAATACAACATAGAAAAAAAAAAAAAAAAAACAACTTATATCTACAAAATTTACATAACTATTGTTAATTTCTTCTTATTTTGCTTTATTCACGCTAAGTTTATATAGAATTCTGATGTAATTTTATACTCTTTTTTTTTAAATTGCAGTTTCTCTGAATAAAATTATTCACCAATTAAAATTCTTGAATTTATTTGCTGCAAAATTAATTATGTGGCGAATCGATGTATTTTCCACATCACATTTTATTAAGTGATTCGTAAAATATTGTTGATAAATTGAGATACATGAAATAACTTCATTAGATAGATGGATTTGTATGATCCTGTTGTTATTTACGGGCACGTATATACGTAGTAATTTATTCATTTGTGCATAAATTTATACTCCTGCTTAGTCTTAACTGTACAAAGGCTCGGATGAAAGATATTGAAAATACAAAAAACGAGATAATGCAGTGGTTAAAAAGTACATTGTTCGCGGTATTTTTAGCTCGTATGTTTAGAGCATGTAAAAAAAAAATTTATATGAAAAAGATAAATATTGAAGGCAAAAGCTGAAAGTATAGAGTAAGTTCAATGTAATTGTCATTCCTCGTGCTTATAACAAATGACATTGGATGCCGATAAAGGAAGGATATGCAGATAGGGATATAACTATCTATTATTTAGATTTTGTGTAAATGATTGCGAGCTGACCGATTAAATGACAAAACTATCAAGGCAAACAATCTTTTAATCAGCTAAACATTCTACCTATTCTACAAGCGACCGTCATTACAAACAAAATCAAATGTCACGCAGATGGTGAAGACGAATTGTAGAGCAACAGGTGTATGGCTGCCCTGGAGCTGGAACACGAGCCTCCATAACCTACCGAAATTCTGTATAGAGTTCCCGTTTCATTCCGGTCTAGTCAAGCGCGCGATGGTGATCCGCAAAATAAACAGTGAGGAAATTGGATTTTGCTGTAAATTATGGCTAATCCGCGCGGATTACATGGAGCCTTAGCTCCGGGCCAATCGTCCTCTCGCTCTTGTCTGTATGTCCCCGTCCAGCCATCGTAAATTATCGCAAGCGGTCGTCCGGTGCCTTCACCTCGGCCCAAGCCTCCACGTCCCTGTGGGCGGATTAAAATCAAAAGGCCAAAAGGGGATGGGAGGATGATGGTGAGGGTGAGGGTGAGGGTGAGGGTGAGGGTGAGGGTGAGGGCGAGGGTGAGCGTGAGAGTGAGGACGAGGGTGAGGGTAAAGGTGCGAGAGAGAGAGAGAGAGAGAGAGAGAGAGAGAACGAGAGATGTACCTGAGCGCGCGACCGTGCGCACGCGCGCGTACACAGCTCCTCCACGCCGGTGATAATTCACTTTTACACGGAGATTACGAGTGCATGATTGTTTTATTGCCGGTCGGGGATTGTGAATGTGCGCGCGCGGGCGCGCGCACGCGCGATCGACGGCCCTTTCGCGAGAATAGGACCCTTTATGCCCGGGCATTGTTGGGCCCCGCCGAAGGACAATGCGCGGATCATCGTCGGCCTTTTGCTCGCTCTTTCAGTGCCAGGAGTCTTTGTTTACCCGGGGACGATGTCCTGAGCGCTGCGACACCGAGGCCTCGCGTGCCCTTACCCTCGATGAACGCCGAAGGAGAATCGCTTCTTTCATTCGCCTCGAGGGCCGCTCGTCCACCCGATCACGCTCCCTATTGCTTATTTAAAGTGTGTCGTGTTTGCTATGACTGGGAACTTTTCTGTTTAACGCGCCTTCTACACTCGGCCAAAATCATTCCTGGCCCTTTCAATGGCGAAACTCCGTTTTTTTTTTTATTTGCTGATTAACGCTGCCGCAACAAGGGCTTTCAAATTCGCCGTCGCCAAACCTTTGTTAGCCATGCATAAAATGCCATACTTTGTCCCACAGAAATTTGGAAAGCCTTTTTTGTTTGGCATTCCCCTTTGCTTTTCTCCCTATTTCTAAGTATTTACATCTACGTGATTTTCAAATACTTTCTTCTATTCTCACAATGTAAATACACAGTATACTTGAAGTGTATTCTTTACATTTCAATCAAGGGCTAAATATTGTCCATTTACCGCCAAGTAAATAATACTCGAATCAGACTTTATAAATATAATTATCAATATATTAAAGTACGATGATGATGATGTTAGCTAACGCCATTATTATTTTAAGTATTATTACCTCATCGCCTCTCATCAACATTTCGAATTTACAAAATTTGCTAGTGTCTATAAAATTTTCTCATTAAAATTGCGATTCATCGGATAAGTCATCAAATATTTGAAACATAATAATTCAATAGCTTCACCACGTTATAATCAACGATTGATTTACCGTTTTTATTTAAGTTGATCGTTTATATAATAATTCTAATACTTCTTTTGGAAAAGTTTATACATGTACATAGTATTTGGTGAAATTTGTTTCTCCTCGCACAATGATCAAAGTTGTAAATAATGTATCATTACTGATTTCCGTGGAGTAAGTCATTGCGACGAACGATGACATAACAATGTCGTTTACTTAAATTCCGATAGCATTATCACGAATAATATTTACGACGTTTAAATAAAGAAGAAAAAGATTACATGAAAAATAAATGACTAAAGTATATTAAAAATACAATTTTTAACAGATAAATCGTAAGCGCAATATTTAATAAATCAAACAAACGATTATTCTTTTAAATTTAAAATTCTTTGAAGAAAAAAATTGCTTAAATCTGTTTTACGTAATTGTATAAATCATTCAATGTTGAATACAGACGCGCGCGCGTGCGTATATATATATATATATATATATATATATATATATATATATATATATAATAATAAAAACAATAATAATAACAACAAGAAAAATAACAATATCAAACAGGAACAAAAGAAAAAATTAAATACATGAATTTTCATATTAAATTAATTTTAATAATATTTAATCGACGGTTATTGAAAGACGAGAGAGCTCTAATTTTTTCATAAAAATAATAAATCTTAGTAATTTGAATGGAGGAGAATAACGAAAGAAAAAAGAAACGGGAACAGCTGGAGGTTTAAAAGGAATCTGCCAATATATGAATATAATACTTAAAAAGTACCGTTTCGAAGTTCTACAGTCAAACCTTTAAAACCATATGAAGCCATTACTTCTTATTTTACACGTTAACTATGTTAATTATGTAAATAATTTAATGTAGATCGTGATTGAAGATTGTATTTCTTTTTTGCTGTTTAGATTGTATTTTTCTTATTTGTCAGCAAATGTTTTACCGCATTTTTTATCGCGTAGATTTTTACATATAAATTTAGTTTTTACCTTATAATCTCGTAATTTAATGCTACGTTACATAATCGTAAGCAAAATCTTTAAGCATCGATTCGATTTTAATTCACTAGCTTCATCGATTTACCACGAGTCAAAACTCCTAGTTCCGACTTCGCATACACGAGCTTGCAAATATGAATTTTATTACGAAGACGCAAGAGCACCGAACAGTCGCCTAAACATTACACGACAGTAAAAAGTAAATAATCGATTTAAGAATTCACCGTCGTATTACCCGATACCAAATACTAATACGACGAAAAAACATATATAACGTGGTAGTAAAACGTCTCTTTCCAAATGAACTCCAAGCATTAATGCACTCTACTACGCCATTTGGCTTAATTATTTTTGGGAATGGTTCATCATTATTTTAGGAATATGAGACTATGATGCATATGCAATATCTCGTCGACGATAAATCACGCGTGAATAATCGACTGCATGTGTTTCTCTCTCTCTCTCTCTCTCTCTCTCTCTCTCTCTTTCACTCCATCTCTCAAGAGCATACGCATGCCGCGAAAAGTAGGAAGCACCGCCACCCGGTCTCACCGGAAATTTTCTTCGGTCCTTAAGGCGT